ATTATGAAAGTTGAGACAACTGACAAGGCATGTATCTATCTTTGATTGTTCGTTGAGATAAGCTATGAATTTTCACTTTCTTATATATCGTTTTTTCTTTTGTTGGTTCAATTAAAGTTCATACAGATGTGACCAAATGTAAATTTGCCATGTGTCCTCTCAATCAAAAGTTGACAGTAAATCCAAGGTGCAAGTTTTTTAAACTTTTTGAAGGGAATAAATTCCATTTTTTTTAAACAATGGTTTTGTCATATGTAATGTTAAATGTCATATTAAGGAAAAAAAAATGTCTTTATTGATTAAGAAAAAACACATCGTTATATATTTTCAACAAGAAAAACTATTATCTAACCCCCAATAAATGTCAAATAATATTCGAGTTAATTAATAAATTAGTTGTTACTACACATCTATCGGTGAAATTTGTTGTTTCGTCCAATTATAAATAAATATTTTATCAGTTACCTATCACATCATAAATAGTTATTAATCTTTATATATAATATCATCCAGTACAAAAAGAAAAAAAAATGATAAAATTCCGACAACAATAATATTCTAATAAATTTAATGTCATAATTTTCATTCACAAATCTCAACAATTTTTTTTTTTTGCTAGAAATCATTCCAAGTGCAGTTTTTAAACCCTCGTACTGTTCGTATAAAAAATAAAAAATACATAGTCCAACAATAATTATTGCTCTTGAAAAATATCTTATAAATCATAAAAGTTCAAAAAGTATATAATTCTGTTTAAAAACCATATACCAGATTTCCTATAAATGATTTCAACGTACAATTAGGATTAAACAAATACCATCATGTGATTCATGAACAAACACCAAACATCAAATATATCATCACTGTTCACTCCTAACAAAAAAATCTTCTACAGCAAACAAATCATCACTGACAAATCTTAATTACTTTTGATGCAAAAAACCCCACCCCATTTGCCTTTCTTTTTGGCCTGGCTTTAAATATTTAAACCAAATCACAATTTGCATGCAAGACAATTTAATAATAATTAATTAGGCAAGTCAGAAACATTATGTAAAGTTAAAATATAAATTATAATATTAAATAGTATTATATTTTTATTGTTATTCATATTTATGAAAACAAAATATGTCTTCTAATAATTAATTTCGAACACACTAGAGACAGCCGACAAGCTGGCAATCAAAACAACGTTATATTTCCTCTCTTTAAATAAAGCGATGCTAAAAATAGCAATTATGAGAGGGGCACAATAGCGACTTTAATGGGGCCCACAACTTTATTAATAAAACGAGATTTGGTTTCATCAAAACCTTAGAAATCTGCTAAAGATGGCATTAAAATAACATATTTTTCTTGGACGTGAGCTGCCCACGTCTGCGAGAGTTTCTATTTATGACTTTTTCGGATACTCTTTGACTAATGAAATCTTCTGGTGAGATTTTTTATTTTTTTATTATTTTTTCCCAGCATATTGTTTTCACATCGAAATTATGAGACGATGAGAGATCGAGCTCTGTTTTGGAAAATCAATGGTGTTGCATTTAAAGCACTTGGGGCTATTTATTAAATATTTGAGTTGGTTCAATAGGTCATTCTAAATGATTGTTCTGAATTAGGGCTACAAATAAATTGAATTCAGATGCATATTGTTTTCACTGAGTTAGGATCGGTTTGTTTGATGTTTGTTAGAGTTCGAGATGAGCCATATTCGAACTAAGTAGAATTAAACGATTGGTCTCGACAGAACTTCAAAAGAATGAGTATTTTGATTAGATTCGATTTGTTCGATTATTGTCCGAGCTCGAAACAAGTTGTTTAAAGATTAACTTTGTTTTACTTGATAAAAAGGTGTAAACATTTGCGATCGACTCAAATTTGATTGGTTATAAATTTTGCTCGAGTTTGGTTTGAAATTTCAATAAAAAAATGTCTAGTTGAAATAACTTAATTAGGTATTTTATGTATCTATATATATATATATATAATTGCTACTAA